GCAATCAGTAGTCCTGTGTTCTTTGCCATGTTTTATGGTCAAATGGCTGAGAATAAAGACTCTATTGAGCTGCCTGACTGTGAGTGTGAGAGTGTATTGGAGCTGTTCTGTTTCTTGTACTCTGACAAAGTGAATTTAACAGGAAATAATGTGATGCAAGTGTTGTACTTGGCGAATAAATACATGGTGCCTTCGCTTGCCGACAAATGCACAGAGTATCTTCGCGACAACCTGAAGGCCTCGAACGTGTTTTGTATTCTGCCGCACGCACAGAAATTCGAAGATAAAGATTTAGAAGATCGATGCTGGGAAGTAATTGAGAAGCAGACCCAAGAAGCGACGACGTCAGACGAATTTGTTTCAGTTGAGCGATCTGTTGTAGAATCTTTAGTGAAGAGAGAAGAGTTGAATGTAGAGGAAGTGGAACTGTTCAAAGCTGTTGATCGCTGGGCCACAAAGGAATGTGAAAGGCGAGGGGTTACTTCCGATGGAGGGACAAAGAGACGACTTCTCGGAGAGGAAATTGTGAAAGGAATACGCTTTCCGCTTATACCTCAGAGGGATTTTGCATCTGTCGTATTTGATTCGCGAATCTTGAATCACGAAGAGTTCGGAAATATGATAAAGTACTACAACGGTGTTTTAACTACTCCTTTGCCGTTCTTACAAGCTTGCAGAATTGATTCCAATAAGCAGAATTGCAGAATTGATTCCACTAAGTACCGATGCTACAGATTTCAAACGTTTTGTGCGCCAGAGGGTCTCCGCTGGAATTACAGTGGGAATGCTGACTGTATCATTCTCACCGTCGAGAAGCCTGTTAAGCTTTACGGAGTTCAGCATTTTGGCTCCGAAGGCGGCGAGTATACAGTTACAACAGAAATTGTTGATCCCATCGACAACACTCTGCTTGCGTTACGAGCAGGAATTTATGCATCAGAAAAAAGCGATACCCATGCTTATTACGGCTTTGATGTAACGTTCGGCGATCGTCCAGTTATTTTGAAGGCAAATAAAGAGTACAAGCTAAAGTCGCTCATCAAGGGCCCTTCATCGTGGTACGGCGAAAAAGGGCAAACACTAGTGAAGTGCCAGGGAGTGCGATTTACGTTTCGTGACTCGGCATCTGATAGCATTAATGGGACTACTGAAACAAGGGGACAGTTTCCTGGAATTTTGTTTTCAGTTTCCAAGTAGAAATTCTAAGGTTACCCGAACCATTCCTGTCAACGTAGAGCCCAGTGAAAGTCTGTTAGGTCAAGTAGTATTGGATCAGTTGAATCAGTCTTCTCGGGGGACGGTTCTTGGCCCCCTCTTGCTTCTCCTGTATATTAACGACCTCGGAGAAAATTGTACGTATGCGTCTTTTGACGTGAAAATTGACGTGAAAATTTGACGTGAAATTTGACGTGAAAATTTCTCTTCGTGAAAATTGTACTTATGCGTCTTTTTGCTGATGATACTTTGATCTACAGCACTGTTAAGTCCTATAATGATGCCACTAAACTGTAGTTAGATTTAACAGCACTTCAGGAATGGTCTCAGAAATGGAAAAGGAAATTTAATCCCGACTAATGCCAAGTCTTAACAATATCGAGGAAACAAAATCCTATTGAGTCTAGCGGGAAAGTTTTAGACTCAGTTACCCGCCACTCCTATCTAGGCGGAGAATTGTCCAGAAACCTTGATTGAGGCCAGCATGTAACTAACAAAGTCATGAAGGCCAACCAATCACTTGGTTTTCTCCGACGAAATCTAAGCAGCTGCCCCGAAGGCGTGAAAGAGGCGGCCTACAAAGCACTTGTGAGGCCTCTCGTGGCTGAATACGCCAGTTCGATTTGGGACCCACACCCAAAGAAACATGTCAAACAGATTGAGGGGGGTGCAAAGAAGAGCCGCGCGCTTCGTTAAAAACTGCTACACACGGGAACCAGGAACAGTCACAAATTTATTAAATGAATTAAACTGGATACCCTTGGAGGTAGGAAGAACAATCGCGCGACCAACCTTATTCCACGAAGCAATTCATAGTGAAGGCGGCCTGGCCTTCCCAAACTATCTTATTAACCGTAGCAGGCATTTAAGAAACTCTCAGAACAAGTTTATCGAACTACAACCACATACCGAGACTTATAGAAATAGCTTTTTCTTTAAAACTGTGAAGGACTGGAACGCATTACCGAACGATTTTGTAGAATTTTAAGCCCGCAGATTCTTTTGAAAGGCCTCATTTGAGTATTTTACTTACTCAGTTAACCTTTTAATATTGTATATAATTTTTTTTTATCCGTTTTGCCTTTTATGAAATTTCCTAATTTATTTAGATGTCTTGCGTGATGGCAAACCCTTTGCAAGACTAAAAGTTTTTGAATAAAGGTTGAATAAAGGATGATCAGGTATACACATGAGCGTCCTTTGACAAACACTGACGGATATAGAAGTACAAGTGAAAGAGCTATGTGTGACTTATCAAAGTTGATCCAGAATATTTGTCAAATAGGATTCTCAAGAATCAGTTAGAGAACCCTAACTTTATATAGAGAATAATGACTTTTAACAACGCCGACGAAGTTTCTGGTGGCTAAATTAAATGTTGGTTTATTCAATATAATTAAACATTTGGTTTGGCTTTTTTTTTTTTGCTTGCTTGTAAATGTAAAAGGTCCAACTTGAAAATATACATCGAAAGGAATTTCGGACAAATACGTACTAGTAAGCTTGCAAACTAATAAATATTATTTGTGAAAAATTTTTGTCGCAAACTCAGCCAGGACAATTTGGTACAAGCATTACGATTGAGACAAAAGAAATTGGATAAAAGTGAGCCGAAGCTATCAGACTTATTGGTGTTATCAACTGGCGGAGTTGATAATGTAAATTGGTCACCGTAAGAGTTTCAAAGCTGACGTTACGACCTCAGCCCTTTGTTTTACTCTGACGAAGGGCTAACGCTTGAAACGTCAGCTCAAGAAAATCTTTACCGCGGCCAATTTACATTATCAACACAGTTAATAATACCAAATTATCTTGTTGTACCCCCACCAACGTAGCACCACAGTTTCTTTAGAAGGTTATATCTAAATCTAATTTCGTTATTTTTCATCCTTATCAACACAAACTATACCGAGAAGTAAACCTTAAAATACTTGATAATAACTCGGAGCAATTGGTATCTCTTGAACGTAAGACATATGTTAAATACCTAGGTGTTCTAATTGACGGTAATCTCTCCTGGAAGCA